CTTGTTCCGGTAAAAACCTGCGGTGACAATCAAACCAGCATATTTTTCTACCATGTTTTAGCTGCAACGCATCAGTTCGATCAAGACAATAAAATTAAGATAACCTCACGGTGTAATCCATCCTAATAGCATACCGTATGCGGGGAAATCGCTTATTGTCCACATAAGCACAGCTCGCATAGTAAATTTTTTCTCCTCGAACAGTCATATATTCGAACACCAATATACCACAACTGATTCAAATCATGTATGAGATAGCTCTTCGGATGATTGGGACCTGGGACCAAAATATTCAGAAAAATAAATTTCTTTTGCATGCATATATCTAGGGGAAGGTTATATGGGGTCAGGATTACTGGCAATAAAGAATATTTTCTACCAGACATACCGAATGGATTAAAACCATCAGTGCACAGACCAAGATAGACATTCCGTTTGAACTTAGCAAAATCTGGGTATACCGTATTGAAGTTTTTGCACGCTTTTGCATCTGACGGATGAGTAACTTTGCCATCTACTTGTGTATGTTGTGCATGTCATCTCAATGATGTATCTGTTCTTTTAGATTGATAGAGTCGTTTCAACCTATCAGTTATAGGAAGATACCACATCCGTTGGTACAGTATCCTTTTACGTCTAGAACTTTGCGGCCTGTATCTTGGTTTTTGGCAAAATTACATTCCTGCAGCTTATCATCATCTTTCCAGAGAATCATACAATTATCAACATATACATCTATTATCTCAGAAGGTAGACCAAGACTAAAAATCAACTTCTGTATTTCATAGTATGTTGCCGCTTCCAAATTATCCTCCGAGAGATATCTTTCATAAGATCAGCCCAATCATCCATGCAAACCTCAGCTAAGTTATAATCTGTTTTAATTGACATCACCCTAGCTCCCAACGATAATTTAGACTGGCCTTCTCTACATCCTTCATAGATTGGCTGATTAGCATTGTCTAACAAATCATAAAATCGTTTAGCATCTACATTGGGTTCCTCAACAGCATTACCAGTAAATGCATCTGTAACCATCTCATACATTCTATCATGATCTAGACCTTTATCAGATTGATACTGATTAGGCTGATAATAATTTGATTCATCAAATTCAACATGACTTTGATAATTACTACTAATACTAGCATTCCCATGACCATTACTGCCATATCCTTCTCCATGTTGATACCAAACAAAATATTACAGCATAAACCTCTATTTAATAAATGCGTCCACACCGTTTTGATTAGAGTATACCATGTATTCTTGCATTTCAGACAATGACAAAACATCTTCCCACTTTCTTTGGTACTCTCCAACCCGTTCTTGAATTCTTCTGTCTACGCCCATTCTGAATCTTTACGCATATACATCCAGCTTCTTAGCTCGTATATAGATATGTTGAAAAAACTCAAAAAAACTCTCTCTGTGTTTTTTTTATTGTTGTTATTGTGTTTGAATGATGTTGTTGTGAATGAAAGAGAAAACGAAGATATATTTATAACAAATTTTGTTCTTTACGACACTTTTACAATGGTTTTTTACATCGAATTCACATCAAAATATTAAAATTACGATGCTTTTACATCAATTAGACGACAAATTAATTCAAGGACCATAGGTAGGTGACATGTTTAAAATGTTCTTCAGCTACATTATATTTCGACATAAAAAATCGCAATCATACATCAAAAACTGTACGACGTAAAAGCGTCGTTATATTACATCGTTTTTATGACGATTTTGCATCGACAATAAATTCTCGCTCATATCGACGTAATATTGTCGTAAGTGTCGTAAATAATATGACAATTTTATGACGACAAAATCGTACGAAGATTTTACGACGTTTTCATTTTCAGTCGTCTAATCGTAAAACTGTCGTAATTTTGTGACGATTTTTTAATCGTCGTAATAAATCGTTGGAATTTGATTGTTCTCTTGTAGTGTTTACCAGACCAGGGTTAGTATACCGGGTTGGCCCGTAGACAGCAAGTCAGGTGGGTTGGTCCATGACCCGACTTGACTGGGTTCAAATCTTATGCTTGTGTCACGCTTCTGATGCTTTTACCAACTTTCTTTGGTGTGTTCTGCCTGCCACGAGACCATTCCTTGGCGTGTCCCTTTCATACTCAGTGTACGGACTGGTTCGGCGGTTCAGACACGGTATGGCTCTCGCTGATTCTCTGCTTTTCCCTCTTGCTCATGCGAAAGGTCACTGTCACCTAACACGTATAAGCAAGATGCATTAAATGACAATCTCGTGAGTTTGTAAGAGTATGGATGATCAAATCAGAGTAAGGTATATTCCTATTGTCGAATGGAGGGAAATTTGAATAGTATATCCCGCTTATGTATTTACTCATACCTGGCTCGGATCACTCGATACTGGGACCGGGCTACCGGAGTCGTTTGAACGGTACTGCTCTCTGGGTACCTGTGCAGCCCACCTTTTCTTATGTCCCGACCCATCCGGATCACCTAGGTTAGGTCTGGGACATAGAGAAAATGATCTCTCCTCTTCCTGACCACTCAGTTTCCAACCTCCTTGTGCCTGACAGAGTGGCATACGTTGTTAGATATGAGGAACCCGAGAACAGGTGGCCCATCGTGTCGGATCTCTGGAATCCGATTGGATTCGATTCCTGGTGTTATATGCTTAGGCCATATTTGGCCGTTAGGCCAATACGAATCCTAATTTGGTTAAGGAGGTCGTACCTGCAAAAAAACCATGGACGCCACGTGCAAAAATGTGATTCGTCCACGTAGGAATGATCAGATTTATCCCTAACACATATAAACTATTTAATTTACATTTAAAAATAAAAAACATCAAAGCATTAACTTATAATAAATAAAATTCAAATTTATTAAAGTATATTGATTGTCTTCTCATTTTATTTTATTTTATTGCGTTTAATAAAAAAACAAAAACTATAAAAACACAACCCCAAAAAAAAACGAGAAGATAAGATAATATCAAAATTGGAAAGAAAAATAATAGAAAAAAATATAGCAAAAAATAAATATACAAAAAGCTAAAAATACCGGTTAGAAAGATGGATTTATGTCATAACAAAATATTGAAAAAGTTCAAAATTATCGTGATATGGGGATTTAAATGAATAAAATTTGAAAAAATAGATGAATAAGGTTACTAAAGAATGACAAATAAGAATAATAAAAGTAAAGAAAATATATTAAACAACATAAGTATATATAAACTATTTAATTTATATTTAACTATGCTAAATTGAAAATATTAAAGCAAAAACGTAGAAATGAAATTCAAATTTATTAAAGTATGGTGATTGTCTTCTTATTTTATTTTTGGTGTGATTGAATCCAAATATTTAAACTAACAGAGATAATTCAATCAATAAAACTGAAGGAAAAAAAATTAGATAAAAAAAAAACATTAGTTAAAAAGATTTTCAAGCAACTGAAGAACAAAAAACAAAAACTATAAAACTACAACACAGAAAAAAAACTTTAATAAATCAGAGAATATTAAAATAAGAGAGATAAATGATAGAAAAGAAAAAAAGCAAAAGAATCTGGCAACAAATGAATATACATAATTTTAAAGATACTGGTTGGAAAGATAGATTCAATGAAGCCAAAACTGAAAACAATATGTTTAAGAAAAACAAACAACTGAAGAATAAAAAATAAAAATAATAAAAATTGAATATAAAATATAATAAAGAATCGAAAAAAATCAAGATACTGAAAATAGAAAAAAAGGAAAGAAAATAAAAGAGTATATATTGCAACAATTAGTTGAAAAAATGAATTGAATGAAATATATGTAATAAGAAAACATGAGAATGATAAATTGAGAAAGTTAAAAATTGTTGTTAGTCAGGATTTTGATAAAAAAAACTTAAAAAATTAACAGATGAAAGAGGTTACTAAAATCATAAAAATGAAAAATGTATATTGAGAAAGTTAAAAATTATCTCTAAATCAAATTTTAGATCAAAGAACTTGATATTTGGATAAAGAAACTAGAAAAAAACAAAGAATAGAAAAGATTACTAAAATTATCAAATAAAAAAATTATATTGAAAAGAAAGAAAAAGAAATTGATAATTTAACTAAAATCTAATACATATTCGTTTACATAAAGAAAGATTTGTGCGTAGCACGTGTAGTATAACATAATGCACTAAGAGCGGATAATCCACTAGTTTTGTAATATAAATAGGAGAGAACCTGTGCTACACACAGATCTTCTTTTACTTATGTTTTAATTTTCTAGTTTAACTATCAATTTTTTTTGTGATTTCTTTAATGTTTTTTATGACTCTAATAATCTTTTCTATCTATTATTTTTTAACTTTTTTCATTGAAATGTCAATCTAGCAATCATTTTGAAATCTCAATCTAGCAATCTCAAAACTTGTTTTTCAGTTGTTTGAAATTTTCTTAATCTATTATTCTCATTTTTGGTTTTATTATTTATCTTTTTTCTTACTTTTTTATGAATAAATTATCTTTATTAATTAAAAAATATGAATAAATCATATAAAAAAAAGAATAGACAAAATTAAAATCTCAAATTCTTTTTGTTTTATACATTGTGATGTTTAATTTAAATTTAAATTTAGTTTATATTATTTTGATGATTTAATATTTTTAACATCATAAAAATTAAATTAAATTTGTTTACGTATTAATAATAAAGATAATTTTTTGGGACATGTGTCACTCTCTCCAATGTTGATGTGTCACTCAACTGTAGAGAGTTTGATTGTCTTTTATATAAGATTAAATCTTACTGAATTTTTTAGTTTTTTTGGTAAAAAATTGAAATTTTTAGTTGGGCACCTGACCGATCTTCTTCAAACATATATCCGTCACACCATCATGGTATAATACGACTAGGTCTAAAGAAAACAAAAAAACAGAGGGTTTATTGGTTTTCTTTTATTTTGGGTTTGGATCTGGAGTTAAGAACTTATGATATAATTTACGGTTTGCGTTTGATAATCAAACGGAATATGACTATATGAGTGTAAGCAGCAATGTCATTTCGAGTATCACTAACATGTCCTTCTTGTACTTGAGATGATGCTACATAAGAATACAAACACAATTCACGCTTTGCTTCAGCCAAATTCGATCCAGCTCATGCCAGTTTCTTTTGCCCCAAATTTCTTAGAAGCTTCTCTCATTTTACTTAACCGATCCCACATACCAATTGTTGCATAAACATTCGAAAGAGATGTATAAACCGATGGGTCTTCAGGAAAAGCCTTGAGCAATTTCTCAGCAATTACAGTAACCAGTTCAGCATTCTTGTGAGTTCCACAAGCAGTGAGCAGAGACATCCATATCGTTTTATCGGGCTCAAACGGCAATTTCTTGATCAACTCTTCCGCCTCTTGGAACCGCCCAGCTTGACCAAGAAGATCAACTACGCAATAATAGTGCTCTAGATACGGTTCAAGACCATATTCAGATTTCATCGATTCAAGGATGGTTCTTGATTCTTCAACCAGTCCAGAATGTCTGCAAGCAGTAAGAACCCCGAAAAAAGTTACCTCATTTGGTTCAACTCCAGAATCGATCATCTCTCGAAAATACTGAATCGCTTCTTTCACTCGTCCGTTTTGTCCACAACCAACGATTATCCCTGTCCAAGAGACAACATCTCTTTCCAACATACCATCAAATAACACTACACCATTGTCTATTTCACCACATTTTACATACATATCGATTAGTCCCGTCACTGTGACGTGTTCTGATACATAACCTTTCTTTATACACAACCCATGGATCTGCTGGCCCCATCCAAGCGACGCTAAACTTGAACAGACTTTGAGAATACTCGAGATGATGAACTGGTCCGCATCAAGTCCCAACTTGATTAATTCTCTGAACAGATCAAATGCTAAAGAATTGAAACCAGCTTTCAAACAGCCTCTTATTAGGCCAGAAAAAGCAATAATATCTTTATTTGGAAGCCTGTGAAAAAGTTTATGTGCATCTTGTATAATCCCAACGTTGGCGTGTAGATCAACAAGAATACTTCCTACGATGAAATCCAACTCATAACCACTGATTACAACTAAACCATGTACCTGAAGCCCGAGTCTCAAGTTGTCTAAGTTGATGCATATCTTTAAAGCACCACTTAGAGTGTAGGAATCAAAACACATATCTGACTGATACATCTGCATAAGCACCCCTAACGCCTCTTTATTCTCATCGTTAATCAAATATCCAGAGAGCATAGAGTTCCAAACAGCGACATTACTATGGAGGGCCAATTTTTCCTGACGAAAAAGATCAGCCGCATCACTTAGAGAACAACAATTTGAGTACATATCGATTAGCGCAGAGAGTGCGAACAAGCTAGTCTCCAAACCCGACTTTAGGACACAGCAGTGCAGCTGTTTCCCCATTGTTAATAAGCCACCAAAGCTGCAAGCTTTAAGGCCACATGGTAGAGCAAAACCGTCTAGCACGAGTCCTTCTCTATGCATCTTAATTAAATATTCCAACGCACGAGGACTACCTTTATCGACAAATCCCGAGATCAAAGAGTTCCAAGACACGGCATTTGGCTGCGGAATACGGTCAAACAAACTAACCGCTTCTTCAATCAAACCAGCTTTACAATAACCAGAAATGAGCGTGTTCCATGAAGTTGAATTAGGCCGCGAAATTTCCAAAAACGTGTTATTGGCTTCAACAAGTCTCCCATTCTTAACATACATATCTAAAACAGCATTCATCAAAACAACATCACCTTTCAGACTCTCTTTACAAATTCTTTCGTGAATTAAACGACCCAACTGAAGATCACCCACTAAACCACAAGCTTTCAAAACCGAGGAATACATAAACTCGTTGGGCACTTCGGCTTCGGAATCCAGCATCCTTCTGTATAACTCAATAGCCTTGTTGGGTTTCCCATCACATGTATACCCAGAAACCATCGTCGTCCACGTGACGATGTTTCTGTCAGTCATTTCATCAAACACTTTATGTGCATCGCCCAACGACCTGAAATCAATTTGCATCGAGATCACGTTATTTGCAAGGAACACGTTTTGATAGATCCCTTGTTTGATAAGATGAGCTTGAATTGATTCCCCACGGTTAAAAGCTTGCAACTTCCCGCAATGGCGCAATCCTGCTGCTAAAAGCTTGAAGTCCATAGCCTTTTTTTAGGATTGGTGAATTATCAAAGTATAACTAAGAAGCTTCTAGAACGAGATAACAGCTGCTGCACGGGTTTGAAGACATCGTCACATTGTTCGTTGGTTTCTCGCACAAGGACTTTGCGACAAAACATGGCAGCAATGAAAAAAAAAAAAAAACAAAACAAAACGGCAGGTAGTTCGTTTGGCAGCAATGGTAGCAACCATGACCATAACGTAAACGGAAGGTAGTTCGTTTACGGAAAAATAAAACGGCACGCTAGTCACAACAGAAGGAAAAGTGGAAAACAAATCTCACCTCTCATTTTGTTGAAGTCAAATCTCACACATATTTATAACAGGAAGATCGCGTAAATTTTTTTCAAGGCTAACCACTAATAATTTAAACCTGTACTCACACTAAAAATTTTAAAAGTAAAAATATTCACACAAGTATACTAGATTTTTAGTAGATTTCGTAATAATATTTAAATAAACTGTTTCAAGCTGATGCATCTCCTGTATCAGATGAGGAGTAGCTCACAATTTAAAGTGTCACAAGGAAGCAAGATACACCAACTAGTGACATGGAGCTGAGCTGGACAAGCCAAGATGTGAGAAGCGAAGTTGTAAGCTTGTAGCTGAGTTTGGACGAGGATTGTGATAAATATGTTGAAGTTTATGGAGAAGAATAAGGAAATATGGCATATTTGTGGAGATTTGGTGTTATCTCCACAACTTTTGTCATTTTCTCACAATTTTATCCTTTCCACTTAAACTATTAACGAAAATGCCATTATACATCTATTTTTTCGATTTTTTTTTAGTTTGGGTAAAGTCTCCTTGATCCTCCTAAAGACCATTTATTTACGAAAATGCCACCTTCTTCAATTCCTTCAACCACCATGAACAACCACGAAATGGGAATAAATGCTTCTCAACCAATTTTAAAGCTGTAATAAGTAAATATCTGAGCTCATTCACTCATAACCTTGCTCATTATTTCTTAATTTCTTCTCCAAAACATCTGAGCAAAGTTACAATGCGTCGGGCCATGCTTTTTCGGTGATTTCTGGTTACTCGACACCTAGGTTGTTTAATTTCGGTGAAATCCTGAGTTCTGGGTGGTTAAGAGAAACTTAGGCAAGCTCAATTTTGTTAAAGGTAATCCTCGCACTTCAATTTCTCCACATTCTAGTTTATATATCGCGAAAGTAGACTTCTCGTGAACTATACTGAAGTCTACTAGTCAACATAAGGTTATTTTTGCAATTGACTTCTAAAAAATAGACTTCGTTAAACTTCACGAGAAGTCTACTCGACATCCTTTGAAAACAAAAAAAAACTTAGTAGACTTCATTTGAAGGCTCAAGAAGTCTACTAAAGAAAAGAGGTTATTTTTGTAGTTGACTGTATTTTGACTTTTGGATTTAGACTTCCGTATGAATCTACTGTTTCCGTCTGCATAAGAAGTCTACCTTAAAGTTACTTTTGTAGTTTGACCAAAAACGTATAGGTCATTTTAATGTTTGATTACTGTTTTTTTTTTTAAATTAAAAATTAAAAAAATTCCAAAAAACTTCAGTAGACTTCTTTAGCCTTCTTTGAGTAGACTTCATTGTGAAGTCTACTAAAAAAAATCAATTGCAAAAATAACCTATTTTGTTCCGTAGACTTCTATTAAAAAAGTAGACTTCAAAAGTAGACTGTCAGAGAAGTCTACTCTTACATGAAGTCGACAATAGAAGTTTACTCTGTTAGTCAATGCATCGGTCAAATGCTAAAGTAACCTTTTTTTGACGGAAGTCTACTTCTGAAGTCTACTGAAGGAAAAGTCAACAGATTTGTCAATTGCAAAAATGACCTGTTTTTTAGTAGACTTCATTAGTAGACTTCTCAATGAAAAAGTAGACTTCTCCTCCAGTCTACATTTGAAGTCTGCTTTAGAAGTCTACTTTTTGACGTTTTTTTTTAAAACGCGTTTTAAGCAAATTTATAAACTATTTTTCAAATTTTTTGGATTAGAATTGCTTCTTAGTAAGTGATTGAACTACCCAGTGAATTTTATTTCATTTCATTCGATATTTATTGTTGAATCAGAAGTTTCGATTTTTAAGCTACTTAGCTTATCAAAGTAGACTTCGTCGTGTTGTCTACTAATGTTCTTTTCGGTAGAAGTCTACTCTTGATACAAAATGTCTATATGCAGTGTTTGCTAATATGGTTTATATGGTTATTTTTTTAGAGAATGGCTCAAATTCCAGTTGTGTACTGTGAGTGGAAGATTGAGGATAATTCATGGCATTTTGTTGTTGACATGGGCAAAGGTGGAAGAATGTGGTTTTTGAACGATGGTTGCACCTTGGGGGAGCTTACTGAGATGGCGCGAGATGATTATAACTTGGGCAAGAAGACTGAGCTCATCGAGTTAACCTACTCACTACCAGTCTTAATGTTGCAAACTATGGCTCCAGATACACCTCCAATGCATGTCACCAATGATAGACAAGTTTCAAGCTTGATTGCGTTAAGCAGAGTGCATATGGTACGTCTTTGTGTGTCCAGTCGAGTGGAGATGGATACTGAGGAGAACCAGGAAGGATCAAATGAAGATTTACGTGAGGAGTTTGAGGAAAATTCAGAACATTCTACCGATGATGAGGCAGACAGTTCTGATGTGAAAAAGGATGGAGAAGATGTCGACGATGCAGCTTACTCTGACGGAGAAGATTACAGTGTCTACGGTAAAGTGAAAGATGAAGATGATGATGAAGATGAAGTCTGTATTGAAAATGTCAGAAACAGATATGGTGAAACAGGGAGCACGCCCATGTCATGGTCTGATAATATATATGTTAGGGCAAGTTTCCCTACAAAAGAGAAGCTGTTATCAGAGGTTAGATTGACTGCGATAATGTTAAAATTGGCTTTTAAAACACAGAAGTCTACCAAGACTCTGTTTGTGGCTAAATGTCGAGTGGAAGGATGTGCTTGGATGGTTAGAGCGAGCGTGAAGAATGATGCATCAACTTTTTGGGTGACAAAATATGTGAAAGACCACACATATTCAATAGCGCATCGAATGGCTCAGTGTGAGAAGTCTACTCAGTATATTGGCAAGCTGTTTATAAGCCATTTGGGCATCATTGATAGACTTACACCAGAACATGTCTTGGTTTCAATGAAGCATATGTTTGGCATCAAGATGGATTACACTACTTCATACATATCTTTGATATAAGCCCAACAATTGGTCAGGGGAATAGCTGAAGATGGATATGCGAGTCTCCCAGCTTACCTACATTCAGTGAACAAAGCCAATCCGGGAACTTTATCAGCTCTTCATGTAGATTCGAATAACAAATTCAAATATCTATTTCTCCTATTTGGAGCATCGATTGCCGGTTTTCAGTACATGAGAAGAGTTATTGTGGTTGATGGATGTCATCTAACAGGGAAATACGAAGGTACCTTGTTGGTTGCCACCGCACAAGATGGAAACTTTCAGATTTTTCCTTTGGCCTTTGGAATTGTTGATGGTGAAGATGATGCTTCATGGGAATGGTTTTTTTCTAAACTGCGTGAATGTGTCTCAGATGGTTATCCTTTGGTGATAGTTTCTGACAGACATCTTTCTATTAAGAAAGCTTGTCAAACTATTTTCCCATGGGCAAAACGAGGGATATGCTACTACCATCTACAACATAACATAGTAACAAAGTTTAGGGGGAAGCAGTTGCTGTACTTGGTAAAACGTGTGGCTTATGCTTACAACCTCTATGACTACAACTGGTACATGGCGGAGCTGAGACAGATCAAGCCTGACCTTGCTGACTATTTGGAAGAAGCCGATGTCTCCCTTTGGTCCCGAGTTCATTTTGTTGGAGACAGATACAATATTAAGACTAGCAATGTTGCAGAGTCTATAAATGCTGCACTTAAGAAGACCCGTGGCTATCCCATTTCATTCCTCTTGGATTTCATACGAGAGAAGCTCGGTCGGTGGTTTTTAAAACGCAGTGAGGATGCTTTGAGTCTCACAACACATAATACTCGGGGAGTGGAGTATTTGCTGGCGATTCGTGGACATTATGCAGATGCAATGGAGGTGGACCGAATTGACATTTGGAGATACTATGTAAAAGGAGGAACCAGGAATTGTATTGTTGATTTGGAACATGGAATGTGTGAATGTGGTGTGTTTTATATCGAGAAGATCCCATGTTCACATGCTATTGCAGCTGCATTAGCCGGTGAGATAGATGTGGATTCCCTTGTATGTCCGACTTACTAAAAAAACTACTTGTTTGCCGCATACTCTGCCAACATATATCCCCAAATTTCAGAGGGCCAAGGAGTCCAACCATCAATATGTCTGCCACCAGACATTCGCCGCAAACCAGGCAGACGGAAGAAGTCTCGGTGGCAATCATGGCTAGAAATAGCTAGGAGGAAAAGCAAGAAGCCAAGGAAGCTGCACAAAGTATACAGCTGCTCACAATGCAAGCAACTTGGTCATACCCTACCGAATTGTGTAAGTTGAGCTAAACTCATCTAATAATGTCCTATACAATATTGACAATTTTATTTACTATACTTTGTGTCTCTCACTTAGACGTCGAAGATTCACCAGGACGATAACAAGAAGGCTCCGGAATAGGAGGACAAAGCATCTATTGTTCTCAAGAAGTCTACTATGGATGTCAACTAGAGAAGTCTAATGTGGAAGTCTACTATGTATGTGATATTTTGTTTACAGTTATGTTTGAAACGAGTTCATTTAAGTAGCTGCTTTAACGACTTTAACGGTGCGTATAACCATTGTACCTGTTTATCTACGGTATTTTTGCATATAAATTCTCGGGTTAGACGAATTATAGTTTCATTCCAGACCCTTTGAAGATGTCGAACCTGATAAACTTCAACTCTCACCCTTCCGACATTCTGTGGGATATCCTCTTAATAATCACTTCTCGTTCCTACGCTGGGCTCTGTAAAGCAAGAGTTTTCTCCAAACATCTAAATGAGATTTCTAATGAAGAGGGTTTTTTAAGAGCCGTTGATCTATTAACCTTGACCATTCCATGGGTCTGGGATCAACATGGGAGGGTTGACGTTTTCTTTCGGTGCTGTTTGGAGTGTAGAAATCCTACAGCGCAATACCTACGAGGCGTTTCTGTAATCTTCTATGAAGACATCATCCAAGCAGGGTTTGATTTAATAAAGGTGTCATCAAATGGAGGATGCCTCATGGCTACTTACTCCATGGTTATGTTCTCTTTAACCATGGATGGTAGCCATGATGTATTTAACCACGTTCGTGGTCTACTTCCGGGAGAGGCAACGAAGATGAGGAAGACTACGCAGCACATCAACAGGTGTCCGACCACTTATAAGAAGCCTGACGAGTTTCACGAACCGGTCTTCCATGTTTTTGCTAAGGCACAATCAAGGAGTTGTGCTTGTATGAATCTGCCAAACCAGCACTGGATGGATGATGAAAGCTTTGTCGACTCATATGGTGACAAACTCTGCAGTCCTTGCTTCTGGAAGTTGGAATGTGCCATATTCTGGAAAAGAATTCCTGGATTTGCAATGAATGTCCGCGTTGAAATTAGTTGACTCCATGTTTTATGTTTTTTGTGTTTACTTATATGTTTAAATGATATTAGTAGACTTCTGTAGTAGATTTCGTTTGTAGACTTCTTTTGTAGACTTATATTTCTGAGTTATACTAAACATTTTCCGTATACACTATCAGGAGTGCATGTTCAATAATATTTTACAGGATTCAGTGTTTAGGGTGAAATCGAAAATTATAAATACAAACATGTTAATTACTTAGTAGACTTCAGTACAAATACAATAACAACTAAGTAGACTTCAGTCGAAGACTTCAGTCGTAGACTTCAGTCGTAGACTTCAGTCGAAGACTTCAATCGTAGACTTCAGTCGAAGACTTCAGTCGTAGACTTCAGTTTAATTACAATATCCTAAATGAAAATACAACATAATTAGCATTTTAATTATACGATAGGTGGCCAAAAAACTTCCACACCTATCATCTACCAATTGCTAAAATGACCTGCAATCACATTGCAGGTTATTTATGCAAGTAGCCCAAAAGTTGCCATAAAAATCAAAGTTTGTTTAAAAACGGAAACCCTAAGCTTTCCTATCATAGACATCCATCCCAGTTGCATCTAGCTTATCATGGCTCCTAGCACCTATTTCGTCAAAGATCTCTACAGCCATTTTTCCCTGATTTTTCGAATGTTTTTATCAAAAAGTTCTGGAGGAAATGGCAAATCCAAAGCATGACACTCGATGTACTTCAGGCAGTACACTCCGCAATCACCACTCTGAATGTTTTGAGGTATCTCCGTACCTGGTACTCGCGAATGGGTGAACGGCGTGTAGGGGAATCTCCACTTGTCATCATCAGGTGCACAGGTTTGAAGAAGGTAGGGTATCATAACAGCAAGAGGCTCCACAGCTTCGTCAATTTGGGCGTCAGATGCATGTTTGGTTCCCGCATGACTATCCCATATCGTGATATGCCTCGACAAAAATGAAACCCAGATAGCTACCCAATGGTCCCCCGTGATGTGCAACATTGAGTACAAATAGTCGACATCATAGGCCCACGTCTTCTTAGTCTGGCAGTAGATAGGTAATTCGCCAGTGTAGTACGCATACGCTCCAAGGGGTAAAAGTTTGTCAGAACTATCTGCATTCGGCTCAGAGTTTTTGAAGTCATTGTAGTCACGCCTCCAAACAGTAGCAAACATGGAGTTGAGGAAGCAAATCCGGTCGGATACAAACCACTCCGGATGCTTGGATAATCGCAGCCTGAGTATGTTAATGTAAGCTTCCATGTGCTGCACTGCACATTGATGAAAATAAGACATGAGTGAAGTCTGCAAACGAAGTCTACTATAGAAGTCTACATAATCGATCTACGTATGAAGTCTAAATATGAAGTCTAATATGAGATAGTAAAACACTAACCGTATCAGCTAGCTATTTCGTCGGTGTCCGGAGAATGTAATACCATTCGATCGAAGAGTTTTTTGGGCGTCTTGGCCAGGCACTGTATAAGTGAAAAAGTGAGACAGGAAATAATACTATGAAGAAATCTACTTACATACGTATAGAAGTCTACTTACGGGTTTGCTTTCACAAAGTTCATTAGAGTGGTATGCTTCGCCTTGACACCGGTTTGATCGTAAGGATCATATCCACGGACACGGCCGGAGTGAGATGCCGACGTTGGAATGATGGCCTTTGCGGTGCTATTTCCTAAGAACGGACTCTTCTGTGTCGCAGCCAGCTGTCAATTTCTAGCACTCGTTGCTCGGGCAACTATCTGAGCCGCTGCTCTGGCTTTGGCATTTTTGGCTAATGCAACTGCATCGAAGTCAACATCACACGTCTTCGGGTCAATTTCACAAAAACTAGGCTCGGGGGCCTCTTCTTCTTTCATGGCAGCCTTCTTTCCTTTTGCATCCCCGAGGGAGTTAACACTCTCACACGCACCAACGTTGACATTATCTTTCATCGGAGCATCATCTTTATCTGAATTACTCTGCAGTTTATTGTCACAAACAGGCATGAATATACAAATGACTACACCAATGCTATAATTTAGTAACATGTTTCATCATAGTCTGAAAATTGTAAACAACTAGTTTTTAAAACATAAGTAAATAATCTCACATGGTACATAACCCTATTAAACATGTTCGAATTCAAATGACATTAGTATTAAGTGTTCCTATCTTTGTGTGATATTGTTCGCATGAAATGTTTTCGTATAGGCGGAGGGTTTTTGGTACTAACCCCTTCATGCTTCTTGGATCCAGTGACCTGCTACTGGGTTGGCTCTACATTGTCTTTAACCTCTTCCTCAGTGTGCTTCGCCGACCCTGTAGTCAACTCTTCTACCGCGTGCTCTACAGATTCAACCTTCTCGGTGAGAAGTTTGATCTACTTTTCACAGCTACCAAGACCATTCAGCATCTTGGTTGACAAGCTTTTGAAGCATTGGTCGAAGTGCGCTTTCATAGTAGCGACAACTCCGACCCCTTCATCACCAATGAAAAAGGCGGCAGAGGTAGAGGCTGTGCAGGGTCTCTTGCGACTTGATTCATCTGAGGGAAGGCTCCTCTTTCCTGCTTCTGCCTTGACGATGTGTGCACCCAAAACACCTTCCAAAGGCCAGTGGTTTTTTGAGAACTTGAAATGGGGGTCATGGATTGCATTGACAATCTTGACAATATCCGGATCCTGTTCCTCATCATCCCAAACTGGAAACATATCTGCCAAGTCCTTAGCCACGCAACACTGTATACGAGCCTGGAAAAACACAATAAGTAAATGAATTACTAGCCATATGAAGCCTGGAAAAACTACGTATGAAGTCTACCAATGAAGTCTACTACTGAAGTCTACAACTGAAGTCTCACACTATCAATGGTTACATATAGAAGTCTACACATGAAGTCTACTTCTGAAGTCTACTTTGAAAATTCATTACTACATAGAAGTCTACTACGGAACAAGACTTCTAAACGAGAATGACTACACTAATATAGTACCTGTTTTAGCATGTTGGCTTTGACGTTCTTTCGTCCTCTTGATCCTTTGTAAGCCAGCATAAGAGGTGAAATATCATTTGGCAATGGTTCGCCAAATTCAGCAGCAAAATCCAGCAGAGCATAGTACACCCACACTTGAAGAGCTTGCACAAATCCTTCTATATAAAAGTTTTTGCTGAGATCTTTCTCCTTAACAGACTTGATCAGATGCTGAAAAGCAATTCTTCCCCATGGAAACTCCTTAAAACCTTCGAGATCCATCACTAGTCTGGCATGGTTGACATTTGTGGATAAGCCAGGTCTCGTTGCCACTATGAAACCAGCGTAGATCCCAAGATATCCCAACCGCAGCCTATCATCCCGAGACCATGATGAGTAGTTGGAACAGGCTTCAATAATTTCGATAGTGCTTGGGCCCGACTCGACATCGACCCTCATTAGCTCCCAAAATGCACGAATGTCATCGGAAAGTTCAAGATCAGTTACAGCCAAGTCATCCACGTACCCGTAGTTGAGTCCGGTGATCTCCTCAAACTCATGCAATGAAAACCGAACTGGAGTGGTACCAATCAGGCTTCATATCTCATACCTCTGCTTGCAAACTATCTGAAAGGTCAGCATGTGGTGCACCAGCCTAGAAGCCCAACCAAAATCCAAGTCGTGGAACTTTAAAAAGACACCCAACGATGACTCGTAAATCTCCTCCCATTCATCATCTTGTAGAGCTGCCTTTAGTGCAGGTACCAGCCTATAATCATCAGCATAATAGCCGATGCTTTTATCCGGGGCTGGCTCACCGCCTTTGGTGTACAGTCTTCTAGGGAATTCAGAGGCCACCATTATCTAACACAGATTTCTGCATCAACGGTAACAAAGCTCTAATGAGAAAAACTAGTTATAACTAACGGTTTGAAACTATACACGAATGAAGTCTACTTTTTCAAAATGAAGTCTAGTTTTTCAAAATGAAGTCTACTTTTTCAAAATGAAGTCTACTTTTACAAAACGAAATCTACTTTTTGCAAAACGAAGTCTACTTTTTGCAAAATGAAGTCTACTATTGCCAAATGAAGTCTACTTTTTTAAAATGAAGTCTACTTTTTCAAAATAAAGTCTACTTTTACAAAACGAAGTCTACTTTTTGCAAAATGAAGTCTACTTTTTCAAAATGAAGTCTACTTTACAAAATTAAGTCTACTTTTTGCAAAACGAAGTCTACTTTTTGCAAAATGAAGTCTACTATTGCCAAATGAAGTCTACTATTGACAAAGGAAGTCTACTTTCACATTCTAAGTACAATCCGAGTCTAGAAGTCTACTGAAGCCAACCGAAGCAATCAATACATGATAAATACTGTATATGAAGTCTACTAAACCAATCATCCAAATGGAATCTACAAAGTTTATAGTGTTTACCGCTTAGATGAAGCTGGCGTCGAGAAAATGCAACCAGATCTGGGAAAAAAAACCTAATTCAAACCCGACGTACAAAATTACAGGAAGATAGAAGAAATAGAAGAATTGCTAAGTATATATCATCGGAAGGACATGACGTTAACCTCCAGCGACGAAAGCAGATCTGCAAAAAAAAAAAACCTAATTTCAGATCTGGACACTGGTGGTTACGAAAACGGAAAGGTGATGAATACAGAGGAGTAGGGAAGCATGGGGTGTGGTTGGAGAAAGAAAACTTGCCTGAACGGGTTTATCGGCGGCGGTTCTGTAAGTCGGCGGTGACGGAGAAGAGAAACAGAAATCGCCTTCGACTTTTTTTTTAACACGAACTTTCGACGGTTTTTTTTTTAACGGGGTCTGTAAAATTCGTATATATAGTATGGTAATTCCGTTCGGTTCAGGTAAGTTTTTTTCGGTTAGGGTTACTAATTTTACGGGGTCTAGGTAAATTTACCCGATTACGGGCAGTTTTTCTTGGTTAAGGGAAGTTATTCCCAGTTTAATTTCGGTTTAAATTTCGGTTAGGTTATTTTATTCGGTTTAGCAGACTTCAATATAGAAGTCTACAACTTTTAAAACCTAAAAAATAAATTTACTTCTACTTAATTTAAAAACATACATTTCCATTTAGCAATATGAAAAAATAATTTCTGGACATTTGGATTACGATTACGGAATTTATGAATGTAAATTTGATACCAAAATAATTTTTGTAAAATTTTAAAATTAAATTTCCAGATTTAATTACTTAGTAGGCTTCATTTCGATAAAAGAAGTCTACTATTAGACATCTTTTTCTCTTTAGTAGACTTCGTCAGGGTGTAAACGGTAATTAGGACATCCGTTTTTTGTTTACTCATACAGGATTAAATGGTCTTTTTACTACCCCTTTAGGTTATTTCTGCCAAATATTTTTTCAGGAGTCTACTTTTGTATTCAAAGTCAAGTTTTAGGTTATTTTTAGCAAAAATCTTCTTTTTCTTTTCATCTGAATTTTTTTTAGTATAATACAGACTACAGAGGTTGTCAGGATTCGTTGTTAAGCCATTTCATTATTGTTTCTTTGATAGCTTCTTCTTTTGTTTGAGTTCTGGATTAACCAGTTTATCGTTTATGTTTTTTTTAGTCTATTTTTTTTTTTATGTTCTTCCATTGTTTATCGGGCATCGTTTCCGTGTATCAGGCTTAAGCTTCGAGGATATTTCTGTTTCTGCCGGTCTAGTATTCCAAAATCATATTCCACCATATATTTTTCGTTTGTATGATATAATGAAAAAAATTAAATGAAAAAAAAAGGTAGAATACATTTTTGGTACACATAGCCAGCTGAAAACGAAAATTTCCCAAACAAAGCTCTAAAAGTTCCAAAAAAGGGAAGGTATACATGAAAATCAAATAATTGAAACACCAGAAGAGACCATAAGAGACAAAGCTAAGAATGAGAAATGATCACAATAAAAACCAAAGGAACCTTAAGCTTAACAACAAAATGAAGAGCCAAAACATGATTTGGCCAAAAAATAATTGTTCAGGTTCAGATATTCTAGTAATGTACTAATTTGCACACCAAAATTTCTCGGATATTAATTGGTACCAGTTCCCGCTATTTGGTAGTAATTAGTCTCTTCCCCCCACTCCCCACCCCCCAACAAACCAATACATGCCAAAGCAGAGTTAAAAGACAGGAGCAAGAGAAGAAACAACCATCTGATACAGCTCCAGAACACCATCGAGCCCAAAGGAGAAACTATCTCAAAACACCACCAACCACTGCTCTGGACAGGAATAACGCAGAAACGAACCAAACCCACGCAAAATCACTACACTAACAGTCTAACACTGCCACTCCAAAGTCCAAAGAACAAAGCACTCAAGAAGATCTAGGCTCAAGGAACAGAACCCTCAACTTCCAAAAGGGGAAAACGCCAAAGAAGAACCCCACTTCCTACACGTGGACATTCACAACACAAACTCAGCCACCTACAGAAGGAGACCGATCACACCTCGCTAGAGAAGAACTACAGAACGAAACTACTGCATAGCCATAAGCTCAAGACTGAAACACCGAAGAAGCCTCGAAAAGGAGCTAGAAGGTGGACCGGCAGCAAATTACCATCCAGACGGAACCTAAACCACCTTGAATACACAAAAAAAAAAAGACAACACAGAAGCGGACCAAAGCCCCAAGAACACAGCAACATTATCACGGTCAACGAACACAACCGAAAACCACACCCACCCGAGAGCAAAGATACTGAGAAGACAACAAATAGTGTGACTTTGTCATTTGTCTAATATTGTTAGATATTTCTCGTATCTTATCTACTAATTTAAACAGAAATACTGTAATATCAAACTTATATTCAATTTTTAGTAGCAATTGTTGTCGTTACAATAATTACTAAAGGTGAGTTTCCAACTTCAAATGTTCCCAGTGTCTAAATATACAAAGCTTGATTAGAAAAGCACATACGAATATACCAGAATCTTGGTTCATTGCTTTCTGAAAATACAAATCATCATTTCAACACTACATATGTATTATCCCTTCGTTTATTCTTGAGCGCTCCGAACAAAGAAGTCTCAGCCACAGCACGAGCCACATGCCGGTAGGGAATCTGAAAAATCACCAATCAAATTTACCCATGAATCATTCACATGGCATATGCAGTGCTATATCTTTTAAAGGACTCAATTTCAAACTCATCTCGGTTTACTTACTGTGGTCAGCTCCACGGATATCATTCAAGCCACGCACATTGTCAAGGCCCCCACGAGGAGGTCCAGGACGTCCACCGCCACCTCCACCACCACCACTGCCACCATCCCACTTCTTGTTAGCGCCGGAGCCTTTCCTGTACGCATCTGATTTCTCCATCTGATACATGTTTTGCTCTCGGGTTAGTGAAAGCTTAATTAAACGTAATCCAAGAAATGGAGGCAGAATCTTACCGAGAACATTGTTATAAAGAAGACGTGTATCAGATTGATTATTGACCAGAAGAAATCCTTGATTGTTCTTATTCTCCATATTGATCGTTTTGCTTTAACCACACCTGGTACATGTTCCAAAGTTTGTATGTGTCAAATACAACTGATATTTGATCTGTGGTTGTAGAATACATCTCCAACTAATCATCGGAACCTAAAACCCTATTCTGATTTAAGAACAGAAATACAGAGCTGAGGAATTTTTTAATCGAATGTTTCTCATCTCTTCTGTTCCCCAGCCTGAATCAGCCCATTCACTAAATTACCTCCATGTAAAAACTCAAACAGTCAAACGTTGAAACTTCATTTAAGGGTGAACTGAACTTCTATGATTTTCAAACCACTGAACATGGTCTCAATCAGCCTAACTTTCTCAAAGATTAACAGTTCCTCAGCAAACAGTCAAACGTTTAAACTTCATTGAACATGCTCTCACTTGCCCAAGGTTTCTAAACAGAGGGTCACTTAACGATTCCTCAGCCAGAATCTGCCCATTCACTAAATTTTAAACTTATAAATTGCTCAAACAGTCAAACGTTTAAACTTCATTTAACGGTGACCTGAACTTCCATGATTCTCAAACTATTGAACAAGATCTCACTAACTTTAAATTCTTAAAACAATGTTAGCTAAACGATTTCTCAGCCAGATTCTGCGCACTCACTAACTCTACCCCATTTAAACTGGTCAAACCTTAATACTTCCTTTAACGCTGACCAGAGTAGCACAACTTTAGATATTTAAGCCTAGTTTCTATTCAAAATATTTTTTCTTGGAATGTATGATAACGGAGTGATGATTTCACTGAGCTCAATTTCTGATGATGAAGACAAAGAATAACAAAGGAAAGTCCATCCACGCGCAAATATTAACAATTGCAAGGGTCATAAGACAGTCATGATTCATGAACAACCCAAGGAAATGTAAGAGATAGGCCAAAGCGATCCAATTTCGGACATATAAAAAACACAGTTTCCATATATGTAGGTTATAAATCCAGAAACGGATCAAGAATAGTAATTGAGACTTGTGACACGTTAATTTCAGGGGAAAAAGACGAACAATCGGATCGAAACTGAAAAGAAACGAAGAGATCTGTAAGTTTCCATACCTCCTTCGACGTATGCCATTGCAGTAAAATTTCTGTGTTCTTCGTCAAACAATCGCCAGAGGTTAATTATACACACAAAAAGAAAAGAAAAACAATATTTAAGCGATAAAAGGTAGGATTCACATATCGTCCTTGCGCGTTGGCTGGAAGTTTCGCGACGTCTTACGTGGATCTGGCTCGTGGCAAATTCTAATTGGATATATATTATGAGTGTATATATATTAGTTTTGGGCATGAATGGATATATATATATATATATATTATTGGTGGTACGCTCCACTATCCAGTTCGGACCGGTTAAAGACCGAGACCGTCCTGACTTGATCCCGATATAT